AGGAGACGGAGGAGCTGCGGCCGGATCTGTGCCAACCTCAGAGCGATGGCGTTGACAGTACGAGTCAGGCAGACCTGACGGCTGACTCCCACGGCAAACCCAACCCGGACGAGAGGATAACGTTGAAGGAGCTGATGGCTGTTGGTAGACCGGTCGGCCGGCAGGACGAGCAGCCCTTTTGTCTGCCGGAGAGTTTCGAAAGCACCGATAATTCCCGACATCAGATGAACTCTTCCAAGCCGGACAGCAGGCAAGGGACGGGTGGACTTAACCAGTCTGGCCTCGGAGACTACTCCAGGCTGGATGGTTTTCATACGACGGAGGAGCTGGGGGGTTTGAGCTGGGACTTTTCCCAGGTGGAGAAGCCCAGCAGCACCTACCAGCAGCCGGATAGCAGCTTCGGGGTCTACTCGGGCTACGTTTACCAGCCGGGCTCGGGAGTGTACGGCAGCTCTCAGAGTTACTGGCAAGGCAACGGTTACTGGGATGCGAGGTCCGCCAGCAGACCTTCTACAGTTAATTACGACCGAACTCAAGGGCAAGTACCGGATTCTCTAACGGAGGATCACGAGGAGTACGAAGAGGATGACCGTTGGGACGATGACTGCAAGCCTGGGTTTCCCAGCCCCTCGAGTAAGTGCCAGGTGCCCGGGCAGAAGGACAAGGGCTCGGTGCAGGCACATGAGATCAGCAGCAATTCGACGAAGGAGCCGGTGCCCGGCGGGGAGAAGAAGGAGGAAACGAAGGTTTCGGATAAAAATGACGTGAAAGAACGAGGTCCACCAAAAAAGAGACGCCCGGAGCTGGAGAGCGACTCTGAGAGCGACGTGGACTCGAGGGAGAAGAAGAAGGTGAAACCGGAGGCGGGGGAGCAAGCGGAGTCGGCGCCGCAGGACTCCTCCATGGTCGGGCGGTTGTGTATCATGGACGACTTCAGAGACCCCCAGCGCTGGAAGGAGTTCGCCAAGCAAGGAAAGATGCCCTGTTACTTCGACCTTATCGAGGAGAATGTGTACTTGACCGAAAGGTAACTGATTTTTCCCCTTCTTTTTTCGTTCTTCCCCGTAGCCATTTTAGATTTCGACCTGTATTTGTTCTGCGATAGCTTTTTTTTTAATGGCCAAATGGACAACTAGCGCAGCAGGGAGGGAGAGATGCCGCGCTCCCGACATCTACCAAAGCTGCTCGTAGAGGAGACGATGCTGGCCAAGTGTTAAACCTCCCCAGGTCTCTTTTCTAAAACAGAAAGCCCTGGTGGGCTGGCCCTGGTGATGAGGAGAGGTGGGAGACGGGAGGTTGTGGAGGAGGATGATGTATTCACACCCTCTTCTTCGTCGTCTTGCAGCATCCCCGTTGTCTAGTGTTGATTTGGGTGTCGGGCAGGACTCGCACACGTGGGGTTGCTGGCATCAGCACCAAGTAAACTTGTTATTCCTGTACCCATGGTCATCTGTAAGAGTAATGAGGTTTTTTCCAAGCTTCATAGAATGATTAAGGTTGGGAAAGACCTCTAAGATCAACCGTCACCCCAGCACCCCCATGCCTGCTAAACCATGTCCCCAAGGGCCACATCCACACGGTTTTGGACCTCTCCAGGGATGGGGACTCCACCACTTGCCTGAAGTGCACCAAGTAAACATGTTACTCCTGTACCCATGGTCATCTGTAAGAGTAATGAGGTTTTTTCCAAGCTTCATAGAATCATTAAAGTTGGGAAAGACCTCTAAGATCAACCGTCACCCCAGCACCCCCATGCCTGCTAAACCATGTCCCCAAGGGCCACATCCACACGGTTTTGGACCTCTCCAGGGATGGGGACTCCACCACTTGCCTGAAGTGCACCAAGTAAACATGTTACTCCTGTACCCGTGGTAATCTGTAACAGTAATTTAGTTTTTTTCCAAGCTTCATAGAATCATTAAGGTTGGAAAATACCTCTAAGATCAAGTCCAACCGTCACCTCAACACCCCCATGCCTGCTATACCATGTCCCCAAGGGCCACATCCACACGGTTTTGGACCTCTTCAGGGATGGGGACTCCACCACTTCCCTGAAGTGCACCAAGTAAACATGTTATTCCTCCACCCATGGTAATTTGTAAGAGTAATTAGATTTTTTCCAAGCTTTTTGCTTTCTTTTTTATTGTCCACCATTGATCTGAACTTGGTGTGGCTACGTTAAAGCCCAGAGCCATACAGCAGCGTCACCGCTTGCCGGTTCTTGTCTGTGCCATGTCCCCAAACGCCAGCTCGCTCCCGCTCCAATGACACAGGGGAATCTGTGCACCTGGGTGCAGGGAAGCTTTTGGACAAACAAAGTGCGTTTCCAGAGGCTTTGGTTACTTCCATCTAACTATTTGTCACCTCAGATGAGTTCTTTGAGATCTCACAGGCTGTAATTTGAAATATCAGAGGGCAGCTGTTGGCTGCAGGTTATCCTTTCCCCTCTGGCATGGGGATGTTGAACGGGACCCTCACCTCTGAGGGTGACGGAGCCCTGGCCCAGGCTGCCCAGGGAGGTTGTGGAGTCTCCTTCTCTGGAGATATTCAAGACCTGCCTGGACAAGGTCCTCTACAGCCTACTGTAGGTGACCCTGCTTCGGTAGGGGGTTGGACTGGGTGACCCACAGAGGTCCCTTCCAACCCCTACCATTCTGTGATTCTGTGGGATGTGATCCCTGGAAAAGAAAACCGTCTGTTTCTGAGCTTGAGGGATGCTTAACAAGCGTGTTGCTTCAGGGCTCCGCTGCTTCCATCCCTGCCCAAAAAATACTCGCTCTGGCTTCGGCGTGTGGGTGAGGGCTCCTTACGAGCTTGTTAGCAATTCTGATTCCTGGCACGGCCTGCGGTAAACCCTCCCGATCCTTTATGCTGATTCAAAAATCTCGTTTCACTTATCTTCACAGCCCTTTTTCATCCCGTGATTCCTCGGGGCTGGGTGAGTAGCGGTGTCGCTGCCGGGCCGTTGGGTACCAACGATGCTCGCCGGCAGCGAGGGCATCCAGCGCGGCACCGGGGATTTAACCCGTGTTGGGGTCTGAGCACTCCAGGCTTTGCCATGTCTTTTGATCCCTAAAATGGCTTTTTTTGTTCTTTTTTAGAAGTGTGTTTTAAGAGATATTCCTGATTCGGAGTCTGAATACCAACTGCTTACCTGCAGACAAAGGCTGCTATTTATTTCAACCCAAGGTTTTGCGTACGCCTTTTTTTGTCTCGCTGGGACCCACGCTCCGAAGCGTTTCCCTCATCTCCTGCCGACTAAAATACCAATTAGTAGCTGCCTTTGATGCCCAACCGTTTCTGCAACTCTGCCTTTCTTGTTTTCTTCTTAGCATCTTATTTAGTAAAGCAGAGGTTTAAGTAGCTCAACCCTCCAGTATGCTTTATTAAAAGAGTTTTGAAGTGGTATGTGCGCTCAGCTAATGGTTTATGAGTTAGTATTTTACAATATAGGTTTTTCTCCTGGCCTTTGGATCAGGGAAACCAAGTGGAATATTATGGAATAGCTGAGGTTGGAAGGGATCTCTGGAGATTGTCTCCGTGGTGTTACATATGATTACGGAATATGGTATTTCAGGAGAGGCGAAGCGAAGTTTATCCGTTGAGTTTGACCCTTAGAACTTGTGCTGCGTGGTGAGAAGTCCTCTGTCTAGAAAAAGCAGGATGGAATTCGCTGGAAATTGGTTTCTGGTATGGCAAAACGAAGGGGTTTTACTCCTTCCGCTGGCTGTAGGTGACTGAGCATGCGCGCCTCGAAAGTAAAATTGGATGGTGGACGCTGAGGAGAAGGGAAAAAAGTGAAATATCCTGGGAAGTCTGTCTGAGAAATCCTTCTTTTGTGATCAGAAAGTCATCACGTGGTGCTCAAAACAAACCCAGTGTCCTTGGTTACCCCTCTGCCTTCTTGTGGTTGTCCAGAGGTAATCAGTCCAAATGCCCAATTTGTAGAGAATAAATTAATTTCCTCCACTAACAACTGATGAGGGCTGAGGAGCAACTTCTCTGCCCGGATGCCATCTAACCCGTGCTTCAATGGCTTGCCTTCAACAGGAAGAAGAACAAATCTCACCGGGATATCAAGCGAATGCTGTGCGAGTGCCCTCCCCTCTCCAAAGAGGAGCGAGCTCAGGGGGAGGTTGCTTGCGGAGAAGACTGTCTCAACCGCCTGCTCATGATAGAGTGGTGAGTAGGGTTTCACGAGGTGACTCCGGAGCCCCTCAAGAAATTCAGCCTTTCCTGGGCTGTCCTTGCACTTTCATTTTCATTTCTGGCTGGTGGGGAGTGACCTTCAGAGCCTATGTACCAGCATCTGCCCTTGGATCTTCTGCAGGAGGCTGGACCTTGGCAACCTCCCGTTAAAACCTGCTGCAAATACCTGGAGCCTTCTGCTCCGTAGTGTTAACTCTAGCCCATCGGAAGCGTGGTTGGAGGGGGTCAGAAATGTCACCAGCTTGGGTGGAAGGAGAGGAATTCCCTGCAGAAGCCTTGCCCATAATTTGTAATTTAATAGCCCGGGCAGTAGATGTAGGGGAAGGGGATGTCGTGGGGGAAGAACCCATAAAAACGTGGGGAGGAGAGACCAGTTCGTCCCATTTTGATTGTACGGCGTTGAAGCGCGGCGGCGTTTGCGTTCCAAATGTTTTTAATCTTCCTTCCAGAAATAAATTGTCTGCGTTTGCATGTTGACAGTCAGATGGTTGTGCTTTTTATAGCAAGACGCCTTTGAAGGTTTCACACTGAATTTATTATGGCTCCTTGGTAGCAATTTCCCACCCGAGCCGTTCCTGTTGTCGCCGTTGTCCTGCTGGGAGTTGATTTGTTCCGTTTCCTTCCCTTAGCTCTTCCAGGTGCCCAAACGGCGACTACTGCTCCAACAGGCGCTTCCAGAAGAAACAGCACGCGGATGTTGAAGTGATCCTCACTGAAAAGAAAGGCTGGGGGCTGAGAGCGGCCAAAGATCTGCCATCGTAAGCCTTTGCTCTTCGAACGACGTCCTCGGGCTGTTTTGCTCCCTCGTGAAGGGAAATGAGTTGCTTCTGTTGTGTTGGTTCCGCTGACGTCAGTAGATTTGCTGAAGTTCTTCCAGCTTCATCTGCTGTCCTTGTCCTCTCTCAGGTGTCCCTCTGAGTTACCGGCACCTGCGTATCCCCTGGTTGCACGTTAGATCACAGAATCACAGAATCACAGAATAGTAGGGGTTGGAAGGGACCTCTGTGGGTCATCTAGTCCAACCCCCCTGCCGAAGCAGGGTTACCTACAGCAGGCTGCAGAGGACCTTGTCCAGGTGGGTCTTGAATATCTCCAGAGAAGGAGACTCCACAACCTCCCTGGGCAGCCTGTTCCAGTGCTCCGTCACCCTCAGAGGGAAGAAGTTCTTCCTCATGTTCAGACGGAACTTCCTGTGCCTCAGTTTGTGCCCATTGCCCCTTGTCCTGTCACTGGGCACCATTGAAAAGAGCTTGGCCCCATCCTCCTGACACCCACCCTTCAGATATTTGTAGGCATTTATAAGGTCCCCTCGCAGCCTTCTCTTCTTCAGGCTGAACAAGCCCAGTTCCCTCAACCTCTCCTCGTAGTGGAGATGCTCCAGTCCCCTCACCATCCTTGTAGCCCTCCGCTGGACTCTCTCCAGTAGCTCTTCATCTTTCTTGAACTGGGGAGCCCAGAACTGGACACAGTACTCTAGATGAGGCCTCACCAGGGCAGTGTAGATGGGAAGGAGAACCTCCCTCGTCCTGCTGGCCACACTCTTCTTGATGCACCCCAGGATCCCATTGGCTTTCTTGGCAGCCAGGGCACACTGCTGGCTCATGGTTAACCTGTCGTCCACCAGGACACCCAGGTCCCTCTCCGCAGAGCTGCTCTCCAGCAGGTCCACCCCAAGCCTGTACTGGTGCATGAGGTTGTTCCTCCCCAGGTGCAGGACCCTGCACTTGCCCTTGTTGAACCTCATCAGGTTCCTCTCTGCCCAGCTTTCCAGCCTATCCAGGTCACGCTGAACCAGATCTCCCGCTCTGGTTCTGCTCGCTTCTCCTGAGGGTTTCTGACAGTCTTGCCGTGGCTTTACCTTGTGTTTGAGCTGTCTTCCCACCTTCCTCTGCCCACACTCCGGTTGTGTCTCCTCCTCTTCTCGCCCCACCGCTGTGAGACTCACCCTCTCCTTGAGTCCTCCTCCCCTTCGGGCCACGTGAAGATCCCGTGGGGATCTTTCCTCCTTCGTTAGGCTGTCCTTAGTTAACTGCTGTCCTTCCAAGTGCTGCTTTGACATCAGCCACGCTTACAGATCCAGCTTGGTGTCTGACTCGTCTCTGGCAACTGAGATTTGCCCGTTGTGCCTGGATCAGCGCCTTTAGCGACGGCGTCTGGCACAGAGGGGCTGGTGGGACGCGAGGGCTTCCTGGGGCTTGGTCCCCTCCTAGGTCGGCAGCAGGATGGGCGCTGAGATTTTTGGAGTTAAGATCCTGTTTGGAAACTTCTTTGGAAGAAGAATAGCGCTGGGTACCTTTTGCTCTGCGGGTGTGTGCAGGGAGCAGGTCTGAGATGGGAATGCCTTAAAATCACAGAATCACTAAGGTTGGGAAAGACCTCTGAGGTCACCAAGTCCAACACCCCAACACCCCCATGCCTGCTCAACCATGTCCCCAAGGGCCACATCCAGACGGTGTTTGAACCCCTCCAGGGATGGGGACTCCCCCACTGCCCTGGGCAGGGTAAGTCAAGGAGCTGCCTTCGGCCTCGCCGAGCCGCTGCTTGCTCATACTCCCAGTCGTAAAAAGAGCCTTGAGCGAGGCAGTGAGAGCAGCGAGGCCGTTCGGAGAGCTGCTGGGGGCTGAAGCGCGAGGTGCAGCGGGGAGGAGCAGGGGGCAGAGATGGGGTTTGCTGGGAGAAGGGAGCAAGGCAGGAGGCGTCTCCCGGTGAGAGCGGCTGCGGTGACCTGCTGGGCTCCTACGGCTGGCAAGGCCC